TCCCTGTGGGCAGTGAGCAGTCCTGTCCCTGAGCCTCCCTCAGCCTTAGGCTAATTGTGTTGTTACTTTTTGTAGGTGTTCAGTAAGGGCTAACACGCAGCTTCATCTCAGGAGCACTGGAAGGATTAGGTAGAGATCTGTTTCACTTCTTTGGGATTCAGGCATTATCTCCTACAATCAGGACACCAAACCCATGGAGCAGGTGAATGGCCTGGACTAGACATGAAGTCAGTGCCAGGATGCATTCAACACAAGACTGCATTTATGAAGAAAAAAAAGTTTTCTTTGACCCCAGCCCTCCAACTTCGTGCTTGTTATATGCACCCACTTGGACACCAGCTGAAGGTGTTATCCATTTTCCCCATTGATTAATTGTTGTCTGACACTCACTGCAGGATGTGGTGTGAGTCCATGGGGTACAGGAGAGTGTAAACCAGAAAGCTGCATCAGAAACAAGAGTGTCCCTTGTCCTCCCATCACCCTCAGAAGGGTTGAGTGGCTGCTGTACCCTGACCGCTGTTTTTAGTGCAGGTCCTGTGCTTTGGGCTCCCCAGGATGCCCGTGAATATTCCTTTCCCGTCCCTTGCTTCGTGCTCAGATGAAGCCGGGTGCTTTTATCTAGGAAAGACCTGAGCCCTTTTCCTATTTCCCATTCCCCTGACCGTTCACTCTCCTGACTGCCAGGGTCGGGCAGGGGTCTGCAGTAGCGGCCGGGTGCTCTGCCCAGGGCAGCCGCCCTCTCAGCGCCAGCACCGCAGCCCCTCCATCTCCCACGGCCCCGCAGGAGAAACTTCTCCCGCAGCAAGGAGCCCGCTCCGCCGCTGCTCGCAGGGGCTGAGCTGCCTCCAGCCCGGCGCTTCCCAGGCCCCCCGAGGACACAGCACCCCGGGGAGGGGTGCTCGCACCGGGCTACCCCCGCTCCCCACAGCGCCCTGCGCTCCCCGCCGGGCTCCGCGCCGCAGGTGACCCCCCGGGGGAGGGCAGGGCCCGGGGGAGGGGGCGA